TATATATATATCATGTAATATCATAAAACTTTAAATACTTTAAAATCTCCGAGACTCCTAAAGAGATTTATACTATCTATATATAATCCTATATATTGATAAAAGTCTTATTTATTTCAGAGCATCAAAACTGAAGTGCATTATAGCTTGATGGCAGTAAAATAAATCCTAATTCATCCTAATCATCAAAGGGCGAAAAAAACAAACAAAAAAACACCAAATGAGGGCGAAAAAAGACGAGTCATGGCGTCAAAACGCTGCTGGTGTTTATATACACGTGTTCTCTGTGTGACGTCTCTGCGCGGTTCATCATGTCGAGTACGCTCGCTGGTTTAAAGCGGGGTGTTTGTTTAAGTGGGACAGGAGCGTGTGTGGGTTATGCTAGCGTTTTGAAGCACAGCAGCCTCAGATCTCAGAGACACACAAACATCTTCACATCTCATAATCCACACAACCACAGGCAGACGCCAGGGCTTTCCTAGACAGCGCCGCGAATATTCGGGAGATTTTCTGCCAGCACCTCGTTCAGGATTACGGCAATGTTTTGTCTGCGTTATTTGGGGCAGGAAAAGAACAGGATTTTCAGGCAGGAATACTTCATCCGATACTGAACTACTGCCATCATTTACTCAACCTCAAACCTGCATGGCTTTCTTCCTTCAGTAAAACACAAACTGAGAAATTTCGCAGATTATTCCTCACACAAATTTATTGTACGACTTCAAAAGAAGTGAAATACAGCGTACAGCTCATATGGACTACTGTTATGGTGCTTTTTAGTCATTTTACACCAAAAGGGTTTAAATCTACACAAATTTTTTTTTTGATGAAACAATGTTAAAAAAATAAATACAATAATAAACAAATGTCATATAAATACATTAATTATATAAATATTTATAAAAATAAAACATAATATATACATCAAAATAAATAAACATAATAACACATTATATATATGTGTGTGTGTGTGTGTATAAATATATACAGTGGGTACGGAAAGTATTCAGACCCCCTTAAATTTTTCACTCTTTGTCACTGTATATATATAAATATATATGTGTGTGTAAACTAATCAAACTAAAATACATATACATAAATACACTAGTCAACATCTGAAGTGGATCAAAACCTTTAAATCAAAGTTGTCCTAAAACCTAAAATAAAATTGTCAACTTTGATGAACTTTTTTGATCCACTTCAAATGTTGACTACTGTATATATATACATACACATATTTATTTATTTTTTCATATATCCTGAATAGAGTTAATGATATTAATCATCGACGTTACTGATAAACGGTTGATGAAACGCTAAAAAAATAAATAAAAGAATAAATTTACAAAGATTTATAAAATATTATTTCATATATATTATATTTATATGTAAATATTTTATATAAATAAAAATAAATTAGTACATAATATTATTATATAATATATACACCTAATTTTTATGTTCATTTTTATTTTATTTGAATATATCATGTATTATTAATACATATAATAGCATAATATTATATAATATAATTTTATAAAAGACATATATTTACATATGCGTGTATATATAATATATATTTAATTTTTTTATATATTACATGTATTATTTTAGTTTTATTATATATTTTTATTAACATTTTAATTTTATTTGTTTATTTATTTTTTAAATGTATATATGTGTGTGTGTATACATAAATTTATATTTGTTGCACCAAAGAAAAAAGTATGGAACAAAAAGTGAACGAGTTTCCAACATTAATCCTGTTCCCGCTCCTTTTCCTTTAAGTCTTCTGTATGTAAATGACCTCTGTTTTGATCGCCTAACCTACCACGTTCCACTTCGGCATGGAGACACGCTAACGAACGGATGTGAGGTCTTACCTTGCGCCAGCCGCTCCAACCTCTTGCCGTGCTCGGGAGGAATGGCATACCTGCGGTGAAGAGGAAAAAACCGAGATCAATTAACGGGATCAATGGACAAGACGAAAGGGAAAGACACTGGAGGGACGCGCAGCGAGACGCCTCTCTGTGAGAACTGCTCTCTGAACATCACACAGCCCTCGAAAACATGAAACACGCAGAGAACATTTCACCCCTATTTCACATTCACCAGTCGCACGCTAGTTTAAAGACAAAGTACTCAAACGTCACCGAGACAAAGCCTGGAAAATTACTGCGCGAGAGCCAATTTATTTCAGCTAATCGGCTCAAACACGCGCAGCGCTAATACAGATTGTGCTGTAACGGTTTTGCTGGAGAAGGAAACGGCACAATATCTTCCGTGCCGCTAAAGGTTCAATTCGCTTGACGTCGTTATTGACATTGTCTGTATTAGCCTAATTATTTCCTCAAGTTTACGGAAAGCCGAAACCCTCCCGAGGCCTCGAACGCAAATGTAAATCTGGTGCATCACCCTCCCCTGGGCTCCAGCTCCAAATCACACATTCACAGCGGCTTCAGGAGGGGTTTCGAGCGGCGCCACACTGCCCTCTACTGGCGGCAGGAGGCAAAACTGGGATTTTATGGGCGAGTGGCACTTTCTAGTTAAACACGGGCCAATTTCCCAGCAGTGGTTTTCTCTACACAAGCGCAGGATCGTCTGAAAGTCGACTGAATACCAAGTGGACGGATTAGACGTTTGTGTTTGTATGCAGCTGATGGGATGTACAAGAAGGGGTTTGTTTTATTTCACAATGTGTTGTGGCTTTTACTGAAAAGTTACAGGAGAAAAAGTACAAGAATCATGGGGGAAAACAAAGAGGGATGGGAACTGAAAGCGCTTGACATGGCTATGCACTAACCAAACGGGAACAAGAACAAGATGGAAATAAGATCTATGGAGAAAAGCCGCTAGTCAGCAGCCTATGATTCCCATATTCAGATAATTATGGAATCAGCAGTAGCACATAGGGATGTAACGATTCACTCAACTCATGATTCGATTCACGATTTTGATTTCATGATTCGATTCTTTTTTCCTTTTTTTTTTTACAAAATGAGGTTTAAGACAAATTATAAATAAATGTGTCCTTTTATTATTGCTTGGACAAAATGCTGCATGTTTCTTTGTGAAATTGAAATATAACACTATAATAATAATATACTAATACAGCACTTTATATTATTGCTCTTTTGTTGGTTTTGATTGCTTTATTGTCCTCATTTGTAAATCGCTTTGGATAAAAGCATCTGCTAAATAACAAAATTTAAATATAATGTAAATGTAAATAACAAAACTAAATTAACATTTTAAAACAAGCCCCAAATCAAATAAATAAGTAACACAAATAAAAAAAATATCTTCATATAAACAAAATAAGGCTTTGTCTGTGCTCTTTCCATTTAAAATGAGAGGCAAATAAAGAAAATAAGAACAAATAATCTAATTACAATCAACAGAACAAATAAATACAATAGAGCAAATACAAATAAAATAAACAGTGCTTTTCAGGTTTTTTTAGGTAGGTCTAACAGTTTTTAAGTACATGAATTGAATAAAGTAATCAAATGTAAAATAACATTGCATATTTGACTGTATAAATTAAAGATGAAGTTGCAAAAGCTATTCAATCAAGAGCAGTGAGTGATTTCCTTGGCTTTTGTTGTTTGATTAACATTAAGAAAGTGCTGTCACTTTAAGACAACACACGAATCCACTACTGTAAGTTCAACCGACTCTGTCTGCTGGGATACTCACCAAGACAGGCATGTTGACATAATTTGTCCATAATTTGTCCATTCAAGTACAAGTCTTGAAAGAGAACTCATTATTTGCCCACTCTGAGACGCGGGATTTGGCGCTTCAGATGAGCGCATAGACAAATCTACTCATTCACATCTGGATCTTTAATGTTTAAACTGGCAAGGCTTAAATGAGTTTAGTTTAAACACAGATCACACATCTCACCTGCGCGCACGCTAATCAACACCCGGGTGATGACGGCATAAATGACTGGTAATATATGAGCATACGGCACTCGCATTGAACAAAGTTTACAAAGAGTGACTGGTTTGTTCATCGCTGTTGTTGTAATGTATTGGGAAACCAGATTGTGTATCTGTTGACAGAAACATACATTAGCCGAACTCTGTCTGTTTTACGTGTTGTTATCTTTAACAAGCCATATTACAGATGCGTTGTCAGATTTAAGTTGACCTGCGGTGCAAGTGCGTGCCGAACCGTGGGTGGAGAACGGTACAGTTCGATTTTTTACCAAGAACCGTTACACCCCTAGTAGGGATCTACGTACATGCAGATATTACACTAATAGCACAGGATTCATTCTTGGATTAAAAAACATTTAATACCAAATCTAAGCACACAGGGATCTCGAGACTAGTTTTTAAAATTGAACTACTTAAAACCGTAATACAGTGTCTTATAACTGCGCAAGACACTAAAAGCAGTGAGATGCCACTTAATGGCCTCCACCTACAGCAAATATGAATGCTAATCAATTCCCATGATGTGGTGCACTGTTGAATGCTTTGGGAACTGCCCTGAAACTCCAAAGATGGAGCTATTGGGAAATCGAACGGCTGGCCACAACCACCCCAACTCTAAGGACACTGGCGGTAGTGGATTCAATTTGGTGTTTGAGGTGCCACCACAGATCAATAACAATTAGATGGATCTTTCTCTCCCTTTTTTCTTACAGATAAAAGCTAGATCTGATGAGCGGCTGTAATTAGGGTACGAATGGTTCCTGCCAGCAGGAATATCCTTACACCCCACTAACCCCACCAGATCAAGCTGACAGTAACTCTATCTGGCAACCGAAAGTTGCAGAAGCTCTATTCGATCTGGAACTGCCTGGGGAGGAAGGCAAATATTGACAAAAATCACACCGGGGGCACCAGAAATCAAGGTAAATCCGAGGGGTTTGGCTTGGTGTGACTGGAAACACCCACCTGGAGGAAAGCCTCTAGCCTCTTGAGGTTCCTCAGGCACCACCGGAACAACGAAATGAACAAGAAGCGTCCACTAAACACCGTTTGAGATTTTGAGACAAGGGTACTTGGGTGCCTGGGCGTACGTAAGGGATGCATCCCATTTACCTCGTTTATGGCCCATGAAACAATTCCGTACTTCACTTCCTAGATGCAATATCTCTCCAGTCCCACGGCGGAAACACAAAACCCCTACCTGCCAAACGGCACCGACGCCGCCGGCAGCGTTAAGCTTTTATTTGTCATCATCTTGAAGAGGACAAGAACAAGAAAACAAGCAATAAGAATCAAGCTATTCCCTTGGCTCCCTCTCTCAGCGATTATTTCCGGCAGCGTGCGCACCACTTTGGGCCACTCCGCAATCTTTAAGAATCTGACACTAGATCTCAGGAGGCGGCGAGAATTATGACTTTGATGGGAGGAGAGTTGGAGGCGAATGAAGTTAATTTCACAGTGGCTGAACAGAGGGTTAGGCAAACAGCTACCACACACACTTTAACATACTGTAATTACCAGAAAAGTAAAACGGATTCAATTTCAAAAGCAGAAGGGAGTGTTTGGGTGGGGAGGACGAGCGCACGCATAGTTGCATTAAGCCGAGTTGAAGGGTGAGTAAATTTTCTCCTCTTTCCTTTTTTTCTGTGCACGAGCCTTGCCGTTCTCCGCTATGCGGAAAGTTAACTTGAGATAAGGCCTCCGGAGAGCGGGAAAAAGAGAGAATGCTTAGCTAGAGACATCAAGAGCTAACACTTCAGAGAGATATGAGGACACAGAAGAAATGGGGACGGAAAGATACTCAAGAGAGCAAGCGAGACCTCTTAAAGAATCACACTTTTGTACCCTTATCCATTTGGGCACCTGTGCCTACCAGAGCTTGACCCAAAAACACGCTACGACCCTTTCAACATGATTCATGTCAATGCATTAAACTCTACAGAGACAAAGTGTCAAGCACTAGCATTAAATCTGGCCCTAGTGCAACTTTCAAATGAGGAGTCCTTGATGTTACCTCTTGCATTTGCTATTCACAGTTTTATGGTTCCCACATCTTTTGATCAGGGAACTGAACTTTTTCATTACAGAAACCCTATTTTTACATGCAAACTCTGAGGTCTCTTTTGCAATTGGTAGCTACGCACAAAATAAAATGGTCAATAACATTCTTTTTAAAATGAGGGTATATTATGCTAACAAGCTTTGAAATTAAATAAAGAATTCAACAACTTTCCTTAAAGCAAACAGATGCAGTTGCATTTGTGTAACATTTACATTGATGGATTTATGTACTTCTACTAAACTGTGAGGATAAAAATGATTGATGTTTGACATAAATCATTTTTGGTACAAAAAGCACTAGTCGTTGTCCGTGCGCTTTTATTAAAGGATCTGACAAAGGAGTGTGTAATTCTAAAAGTTTACTATGAAAAATTCTTTGATTTCATGAAAAACTAGTTAGTTTTCAATCCTGAACAACTAACGTTCAATTACGTAAAAAATACTCAATTTCTCATTGAAACTCAATTTCTAAACTATTTTTGAGCTTTGCATTTCAACGACTTTCCCAGTTGTTTGTGATTATTGATTAACAATTTTAAAAGTGCACTTTGTATAGATTACACTCACAATAAATATAACATTTTAGCACTCAGCATCATTAAAATATATCATTAAGTCCTGGGAAACACTCTACCATTTAGTGGGAGTCTTGCTTCCTACTTTCTACTTAAAAGTCTTTCGTGATGCAACCTATTATGTTTTTCATCTCACGCATTTTTTGAAGCCCCGACGCCATTCACTTTACAAATTCCTAAAACATTGACCACTTTTAAATGAATTTTTCCAAGGCAAAAAAAAACACCCTTGATTGACTACTGCTTTCCAGCTTGATTAAAAGACACGAGACTCACAGATGCATGAAATATCCCTCTGTACGACATCCCGAGATACTGACAGAACAGCTGCGTCTAATGAACGCGGTTTCTTTAAGACAACACAAACCCAGGGCATCAAGGACTAGTGCACAAGTATGCAAAACACACTTGCATCTTTCTCGAAAGAGGGGATACACCAGGGAGAAGATACAATATGAGAGTGTGTGAAGAAAAAAACTCAAATGTGGAAAAAAAAAAAAAGGACACTAAAAGCATATTTAAACTCTTTCAGCACAGGAAAGACGCCCAGCCAGAAAATTGTGTATTCTGCACCTCAAAATACAGTATTAAAGCTTCTCCGCAAGAATGGAGAGGAAAAGTCAAGCTGAACTTCAGTAAAAAACAAACCAACAGAATAAATACCAAGTAATTTCAACAGCATTTGGATTTGGATCAAGCGATGTTATGCTTGGTTTTCACATCTTTTAGTCCACAATTGACAGCTCTTCTTGTCAAAAACTTGATTTCAATGTGCATTTATCTTTCTATCCATTGAATGAAAGCATAGCACATATACATATACATCACCCCTAACGATCCTCTAGAGGATTTACTTCACAACCAAGTGCTTCTGAAACGACCGGCTCCATTATAAAGAGCCTGTTGTACGTTTAAATGCGGCAAGAGCGAGATAGTGAGACAAAGCAAACGCCACAGGATTCATCTCTCTCGATGACATCATCCCGAATGTCTACAGCCGATGTGAATCACAACAGCGCCTCCAAGTGGCCGAAAGCTGATCTACATTTAAGGTTCTTCATATTGCACCCATGGCACGTTGGTACTGTAAAATCAAGCATAAAGTCTAGTTTTTGAGACACTAAATGTCAATCAAACTGATGGACCGCAATTTTATCTTCACAAGCCCCATATATGGCAAGCATCAAATCACTTTTTGGTTAAACACTGCCGAAATGACCGAATCTGATCATACTTAATCACTGTGATGTAGTTTGTGTGTTAAAAAAATGGCCCAAAAAAAAACCTTTGAATCTTTAGAATTCAACTAAATGCACATATAAAACCTATATAAAAATTATAATTATACACAAACTTACTGGATGCGCAAGAAACTAAAACAAATGTAACAATTTTTAATGGTCATGACTTGTTTTTAACTAAGTAATGCAAAATGATTTATAAACCCTCCAGATATTGAAATATTTTAACAAAATATTAATGTAACATTTTCATCAGCATTTGGGACATAATATTGTTTACCTCATAAAATGTTGATTGCTAAAATATGTTTTAAAAAATTATATAAATATATAATTATGCACAAATGTATTGAATGCACTCGAAAAGAAAGCAAATAACAATTTTAATGGTGATGCTTTGTCCTTGACAGGGTACAAGATTACCTACAATCTAAAACATGACATTTCTGAAATTGTTTTGTTCAAAAGAAATAATGGTAAATTAAATACTAGGAAATGAATATAAAATAGGAAATATACAAAGACAGTTTACTACAGAAAACTACAGTTCAGTTCAATTAACAACAAAGCACATGCAAAGAATGCAATGACTGTGGCAACTTTAACATTTGAAAGGATACTATGGCAAAGTTATCGCTTTCCTTATTCAAACTGATTTTTTTCATGAATATATGATTGACCTGAAGAATTAAAGCTATGTCATACACTTGGAAAATTATGAGTTTTATCATGCTCATAGACACTAGGGGTGTGACAATACACTTAGCTCACAAGGCGAGACAAAATGCAGATACTTGGTTCACTAGAATGAGACAATGTTTTAATACTTTAAGAAATTTTCAAATGACAAAATATTTGTCTTTTAATCACAAAAAGTAAAACAATGCAGTTGTATTTTGAAATGTTTTAACTAATCTAGTGCTTAACTAATGATTATTTTGCTAATCAAGTAATCTACTGATTATTTTGACGAGTAATCTGATATTTTTTTAGTAATACAAATAGAACTAAGGGAAAAAACAGGCTTTAATATGACTATATTTATATATAAAATAACGATGAGGCAATAATAATTGGCCTCAAATAAAGTATCAAAACCAAGTCATATGTCGATATATTCTCCTGTGTTGGCATAGGTTTAAATGATTTAATTTCAAATCAAGTGAGTTTTCCCAGATGAACGTTAAGCAACCCAAACTCACCGTATATGCAGAGTTTAGCCCCTTTCACACATACAGTCTTTACTGGTAAATTACCGTTAAGAGATCATTAGGAAATGAATATAAAATAGGAAATATACAAAGACAGTTTACTACAGAAAACTACAGTTCAGTTCAATTAACAACCAACAACAAATTAAAATAGTCCAAGAACTGGTAACTTAAACAGGGTTCGTACAGATACTGCAAAATACAATTCCAGGACTTAAGGAATTGCACTACTTTTTTGGTTTTCGAGGACTAAAATCAGATCTCACTAATCAATCAATGTTGTTATTATCTTTCAAATTCTAATAAATAAACTAATAAAACAAAATGGTACAAATAAAGTGCAGCACATGCAAAGAATGCAATGACTGTGGCAACTTTAACATTTGAATCGCAGCTTTTTCAATGTGTCGCGCTCGAGACCCAGGCTTCTTTTCCATTCATCAGCTGCGACTCTGCAATTGGATAGGCCTACTATTATGCACGTCTCGTGTTTATAAGAGCAAAAACTTCTGATTGGCTAGTAATGTTAGTTTGGTTGAGAGTAAAAGCTGTGTTCCTTCGAACGTGATATCAACAAGTGTTTTTAAATGTAAGATGACTATCTTTTTTTTCCCGCAGGCAAACGTCGCATGCCGGAGAACTTTAAGCCCTAGTTTCTGTAATATAATTTTTTAAAATAAATTTTCAGAGTGCATTTTTATATAAAACGTCAAAAATTTATTTCTACCATGAATTTAAAAATTATAATTACAATTAAAGTTATACACAAAATTTACTGAATGCACATGAAAAGAGAACAAAGTCAAGTAAATGTTTTGGTAAAATACTGTCAAAATGACCAAATCTGATCACACTTAATCACTTTAATGTAGTTCAAGTGTTAAAAATGGCCAACAAACTCCTCTGAATCTTTTTGCACTCAACTAAACGCACATATATAGTGAATGTAGGACGCTCACCAGGACTTTGGTTGGCCGAAATGCAGGTAGTTGATGCTGTAGAGGTCCATGTCCTCCGTGTGCCAGGCAAAAGTGGTTTTCCACATGCCGAAGTACAGGTAGGGCGTGTTGACGCCCTCGATGACGATCCCACACTCCTGCTCCACCATGTCCAGAAGAGTGTTCAGATGGCCGATGTTCCACTCTGTGATGTCCTGATGAAGAAAAAACATCATAAACACATGCATATGGATAAAATCATCAAGGTTATTACAGTAACTAAATCCATACTTAAAGGTGACATATCATGAAAATCTGACTTTTCCAGGTTTTAAGTGCTATAATCAGGTCCACGTTGCATCTACCAACCAAGGAAACGTGAAAAAGATTAACCCAGTAACTTTGTTTAGGTAAGCCTTTTTCTGCAAGCGTCTGAGAAAACGAGCGCGTTTGATTTTGCTCACTTGGTGACGTGGCAAAGGGATCTCATTATAATGAATGATTTCTGAAGATCATGTGACACTGAAGACTGGCGTAATGATGCTGCAAATACAGAGAAATAAATTACAGTTTAACAGATATTCACATAGAAAAGAGATATTTTAAATAGTAAAATATTTCACAATATTACTGCTTTTTCTGTATTTTGGATCAAATAAATGCAGGCTTGGTGAGCAGAAGAGACTTCTTTAAAAAAAAAAAACATTAAAAATCTTACTGTTCAAAAACTTACTTCACCATTCAGTCAATCTTTTCGAAAAAAATACCCCCAAAAAACAATTTAAATTTTAGTCACGTTATTGACATAAAGGTCCAGATAAGAGAGGGCAACTTTACAAAGAAACCACGTTGTATACATTATAAAAATTGGATTTGATCAAACAAAGCGTACTTTTTACTATTGGCCAGTTTGCGATATTCTCCGACCGTCATGGACTTCTTCTGGATGTTGTATTGAGTGAAGAGTCCTGATTGGCCGGTCACCACTTGCATGATGGGAGCAGGAATGACCATCTCTTCAATGGTCTCATAGGAACGCCGCGGCTTCCAATCCTTCGGCGGAATAACCTGAGCGAGAAAATAACCGTACAGTTAGATAACTGACACAAGCGTTTTTCATTATGTTTGCTCAAGTCCTTAGAAAACAAAAATGACTATCTTAGTGTTCAAAAGATATGAAAAAATGCATTTACAGAATTGATTATTCAAAGTTATATATATATGTATATATGTAAATATATGTGACACTGGACCACAAAACCAGTCATAAGTCGAAATTGAGATTTATACATCATCTGAAAGCTGAATAAATAAGCTTTCCATTGATGTATGGTTTGAAAAAAAAGTGCTGTCATAATACAGTATAACAGGTATAATAACTTTTTTCTTATAACAAAAATAACTGAACATTTAATTCTATGCTCCAGACCTCTATAATAACAGACGGCTGCAATAATGTTCTCTTCCATTGTCTGATTCAACTGGACGTGTCAAGAAGCTCTTCGCTGATTGGCTTGCACCAGAACGCGTCATGCGAATTTTCTGCTCGCGTTGAAATTTTTGAACTTGAGCGGAAGACGCGATTGAGGCGAATATCGTGCGTTTGCGTCCTTCACGTCTTTGCGTTGACTTTGTATGTAATCTACTCGCGAGAATAATTACATTCGCGTCTGGTGTGAACACACCATAATTCTTTTAATTCAAATTAAAATTGAAATTTAACTCAAACTTCCATACCTTTGCCAGACCGGCTCGATGAGCTCCTTGGGTCTCGATATAAGCGATGTACTTCCCAAAGTCCTTGAACTCCTCCATGGTGGGTCTGAAGGTCATGATCTTGTAGGAGTTGGCCGCTGGAGGCGGCGCTGGGAACGGTGGTTCTGGTGTGAGTTCTGGTGCTGACGGCTCTGGCTTTAGGGTTGGTACTGCAGAGGGTTCCTGGGCCGTATCTGAAGCCGGTTCCTGTCTGGAGTCCAGGGTGGGTTGGACAGGTGAATCGTGAGCGGTGTCTGCTTCTGGAGCCGGTTCAGGCTCTGGGTTCAGGTCTGGAGGTAAAGACTGGTCCATGACTGCAGGTCAGCTAAAGCTGCGGACGCAAATACAAAAACATCACCAATCAATACCCACACCACTATTACTAATACTTACAGCCATTCAGAGAAAAACTGCGCTGAGACGAACTAAAAATGCTGATTATAAACTTTGGAATAACTGTTTTTTGTAAAAGTTCTATTTTCTAACATCGTCATATAGGCTAGGTTTGAATTTATATGAATGTATAGGTGAGCACAAAACCAGTCATAAGGGTCAATTTTTTAAAATTGAGATTTATACATCAGCTGAAAGCTGAATAAATAATCTTTCCATTGATGTATGGTTTGTTAGGATCGGACAATATTTGGTCGAGATACAACTATTTGAAAATCTGGAATCTGAGGGTGCAAAAAAATCTAAATATTGAGAAAATCATCTTTAAAGTTGTCCAAATGAAGTCCTTAGCAATGCATATTACTAATCAAAAATTAAGTTTTGATATATTTACAGTAGGAAATTTACAAAATATCTTCATGGAACATGATCTTTACTTAATATCCTAATGATTTTTGGCATAAAAGAGAAATGGATAATTTTGACCCATACAATGTATTGTTGGCTATTGCTACAAATATACCCCAGCGACTTAAGACTGCTTTTGTGCTGCAGGGTCACATATTACATTTTTTAAAATTTATTTCAGGTCCTTAAAGACAGAAACACAAAAACGTATAAATTAATCCTGAGATGAACCCAAAAAAAAAAAAACTAATTATGAACTTAAGTTTGAAACTAACCTTTATTTTGTTAAATTCACTCATCATAAATGATAGTTGGTAGTTGACAAATAACTTCACTCTAAAAGTTTCATTTTTCGCACATCAATATTTTAGGTTTCAATTTATATGAATGTATGAATAAGTGTATTTATTTCAAGTATTTACAGACAGAAATACAAATATCTGAAAATAAGCCTGAGATTAACTAAAAAGTTGAAAACTAATTACAAATTTAAAACTAATCTATGTACATTTTTTCTTCAATTCAGTCAATTATAAATGATAGTTGGTTGATGAATAACTTGTCTATGAAGTTCTTATTTTTTTATATTAATATTTTAAGATACAATTTATATAAATTATATGAGAAAGTGTACTTATTTCAGGTCCTCAAAGACAGAAATAGGCTACAAAAATATAAAAATAAGCCTGAATCAATGAACATCATTAGCAGAAACCGGTTTTTAAATGGTGACAAAAACCTCAAATTCATATATATATATATATATATATAATAACAACATTTTAGACTACTGTCCAAGAATAAACAGTCCTGAAATTAACTAATTAACTGATTAACTAATCTATGAATTAATAGTTTTTTTTATTGAATTGTTTTTGGGGGTTTTCCAATTCAAGCCATGTAGAAAATTATAAAAGATGATGGTTTTTTTTTTAATGATGATGATTTTTAAAAGATTACAAAATAAAAGCATTGAAAAAGAACCTGTTCAGAACAGGCCAATTACCAAAGTGCCCAAAGCGAAACTCTCAGAGCCATTATTATTACTGTCACTGTGCTGAAATCCTCGTCTGACCTGTTGCGTTGCACACGCTTTCATCAGAAACACACAAACCATGAGCCCAACAAGCACACGAATGATGAAAAACACTGTACAGCTGTGAAAAAGAGATAAAAATATGTGGATCTTTGCATGATTCCGCATAAGAAACCAGATTATTGTGCACATCAATACTAAAGATATGCCATTAAACGCCATTAAACTAATGCAATCGGTTTGGACTGAATTCGAATGTTCTAACAATGGAAAGATTCTTTAAAGCACATTTTGAAACAAAGATGCTATTTTGAAGTACTACAAATTTAAAATTAATATTACAGATTTGAAGAGAGATATAGATACATTTTTTGTACACAATGAAGTTGCCAACCAGGATAAAATAATAAAATGGCTAACTAAATTAAATCAAACTAAACTTAAAATATCTGAAATACACAGAATAGTTAGCTAGCTATCAAAGAGTCTGGCAGCCATGATGCTTTGCATGATATTTCCTTATGCAAAAGACATGAAGGAGCGCACATTTTAGTGAACTTACTCAAGGCATTATGATTTAAACGGCATGGAAATACATTAGCCGGAAACACAGACCCTTATAACTAGCTAAAGATAAATTACTATTAATAAGTGATAATATTACCAACAGCAGCCAGAAATCAAATAGGCTACAAGCAAGCAGTGTATTTGTTTTTCCCTTTTCTTGTCACTTCTTGGAAACAGAAGTTGTCCAAACCAAGCAGAAGTGCATAAAAACCTGATTTCATGCTCTCTCTGACAGTGAAAACATTAAATCGCCATGTTATATTACATTATATTTTAATAACTACACTATAGCCTGTGCTGTACCTTAAAGATTTTGCATGCACGAACAAAATCATCAATAACTGCATGACAACTGCATAACAAACCAAGCAGACAAGCATTTAAATAAATCCATTCATCAAAACATTTTTAACTTCAATTGTTGCTTCCGGCTAAAATACGAGTCCATAATTCATAATAACGCTTCCTCTAGTGAAAAAGCCCATATCCTGTTGTCTCGAACATCAAAATCCAGCCACATATTTGTTTTTAAACGGTGCTGGATCTGTGCAGATTTCTCTCCTGATTCAGACCAGACCACTTTTTCACTGGAGGAAGCGTTTTTATGAAACCGGGAGCAAATGTAAAAAATGCTCGATTTGTTTCTTTCAAACATGCAGATTTTGGTCATTAACTGATGGACTGGAGTGCTGTGGATTATTGTGATGTTTTTATCAGCTGTTGTGACTCTCATTCTGACGGCACCCATTCACTGCAGAGCATCCATTGCTGAGACACTGATGCAATGCTACATTTCTCCAAATCTGATGAAGAAACAAACTCATCTAATTCTCGGATGGCCTGAGGGAGAGTCAATTTTCAGCAAATAATCATTTTTGGATGATCTACTCTTTTAAAAAAAAAACAAAAAAAACAATAGCTACATGCAAAATGCATCGCTTATATTTCATTTGATTAGATATTATTAAAGTCTCTGTGTTACCGTCAATATTATGCATGCATGCATGCAATAAATAATCAACAATTGCACGCAAAATTCATCTCAAGTACGTCTTCATAGCTTAGACATTTTTCTACCACTAACTTTCGATTACTGTAGTTCGTTAGATCTTAAAACTATGCTTGATGCTTTACCATAAAGACCATCCACGCATGAAAGAAAGAACCAATCGATGCAAAATGCATGTCAAATTCCTGGTGTTCAGCTCAAGTTCAAACAGCATGAGAGATGGAGGTTTAAATGGCCTTTGTGTATGTGTGCAGCCTACAGCAGAATGCATCATGGCTACTAAAGCGAAATGCATGAAAAATCACACGCGAAATTATTAAAGCAATACATATACATATACATCACACACTGTGACTTATGCATCAAATGCACTCCTGTATTCACGTGCGAACGCTTTAGTGTGCTAATAGTTCTCACTAGCAGCGTTCAGCTGCTGATTTGACAAGCATATCAACACAGCTGCTCTCTTAACATCCCAAATAACAATAAAAACCCCTCCAGTATCCGCGGACTCGACCCGAAAGCGCTATATAGATCGTATATATCGCGTTACCTCCTGCTCTGGTTCGTTTTTTTCCCTTTTTCGCTGTTTTCTTCTCGATTCTCTCCGTTTTCTGGATTCTAACGTTAAAGGATCGGTAGTGTTACGGCAGCGCTGGGCCGCGTCTCCGCCCACTGCAGCGCGACGTGTGCCGTGATTGGCTGGATCGCACCAAAGCGTAACCTCCCATTGGCTGACGCGTTCGATTGACGGCTCAACCGGCCTTTCGCGTCGTGTTTGTGCATTCTATCACGGAAATCACGTATTTCACGTAATAACAGTGTGTCTTCCGGTATTGTACGGCAGCGTTTGATGGAATATGCCATATACGGTTTATATTCCAGATTCTTCCCGTTTTAAGCATGTTTTCAGCTAAATACGTTACAAATAGAAGAAAAGCCTTAATTTAAACGACGTGGAAATATGTTCAAAGAACATACACAAAAATAACACAATATAGACTAACCATCTATTTATCCATCTACCCGTTTATCTTTTATTTATTATTCAGAATTAAATTAAAATTTGAGGGGGGGAAACCGTCTATGTGGTGAAAGAGATTTATTTGTTTCACAAAAACGCCTTCAGGGTTACAAAATTTAATTGTGGCTTTAGAATAACTTATAAAATCTTTGCTATGACTAGAACTTAACTTACTTATTCCCTTAGCTAGGTTAAGAACCAAATCATCATTACATTCTGAGCGACTAGAGCACGTTATCCGCTTTATTTTTTAGCGTAGGGGTTATTTTTCTGAACAAAAACAGTCCATTATGCTCCTTAATATTGCAAAATTGTATTTATATTAATAAAAAAAAAATCAAACACACTGGTTTGTAGCGCAAAATGTTTTACAGTTTAGTGCGCTAATTATTTAGCCCCGCCCCTTTTCAACTGCGCAGGTTGTCTTCAGTCATCCGGTTGCATTTCCACAGCGTAAAAGTAAGGCCTACTGACGTTTGTTATGACATCTGCTTGGAATATTACATGCACATGTTAAATATGGTTAGCTCTACAATAAGTAAATCCACTTAAATTTCTCTTCAACAGCTATGCCATAGAGCTAAGGCAAACCCGGAAGTTCAAAGACAATTTTAACTGTTTATTCTAATAAAACTGCTTGCTTTTTATTCCAAAATAAAGTGGGCATGCGCACAGAGCGTTATATAATAAGCAGGGGTGTGAAGTAACGAATTACAAATACTCACGTTACAGTAATTAAGTAGTTCAGTTTTTTTGGACAAGTACTTTTACTCTACTCACACTACATTGTTTGGAAGGTAATGGTACTTTTACTTGAGTATATTTTTTCAGTACTCTTTCCACCACTGATAATAAGAGAGCACACACAGGGTTTTATTTTATATAAAAGTTCAATACAGTTTATTGAAAAATATAGCACTCATCATCCCAGTGCAAGAAAATAGCTATGCACCAACCACTACATAAAATTGCTAAATACAAGTGCTAAAAATATACAATTTCAAATTTCAGAATATACAGCTCCAGTCTACTCAAATATTAGAAATAGTTTAGGTATAACTAAGGATAAAATAAAATAAAATAAAACAAAAGGTAATTATCTGCAGCCTTAGGCATTTTATTTAGCAAATTCTATAATAACTTTTACAACAAGCAAAAAACGTCAACGGCCGAAAAAGACGATACAATTAAATACTTCCTGAATCAGAAACTGTTGGGGTTTGTGCGGAAAACGGTTCAAGGATTTACCTCGAAAACCTTCAACAAGTCAAGGCAGAGCAGGAGCGCTTAAAACCGGTTCCGGGATCGACTTAAAACAGCACCTGAAATGCAGATCGCGGATTGGTTTTACGCGCATGACCACTGTTTGCATAACGGCAGAAGTTAGTGGGAAAATGACTCTCCATTTCTAAAGCACATACAGCAGTTAAACAGCGAAGCAAATAAACGAAACGGAAAAAAAGAGGGATAATATCTATTCATTTCAGAGCGTATTAATTTAGTCGGATCAAAAATGGATGAGAAAAAAAAAACGAACGTTGAGTTTTTACGTAAATTACTATTAGGTTAAAATGAATAAATTTTTTAATTTAGTTAGTTACCAATAAAGACAGTACGATAAAAGATTTAATAAAACCAAAATGTAAAAAGTTTGTGCGCTAGTAAAGCTACAGCACCTTAAATTCACGGATTTAATAGCATTTGTACGAAGGCTTGTTAACGTCATAAATGACGAAAAACTGCTGGCCAAAAAAGTTGCTGAAAGATTAACGTTGCAAACATCTTTATAGTGCATAGCTAGTTTATTTAAATTTAGTTAACGATGGTACAGTAAAAACATTACTGCTACAGCACCTTAAACTCATGGATGTTAACATTCGCATGAAGGCTTGTTAACGACATAAAGGATGGAAAAACCTGTTGGGATATTAGTGTCGCAAAAATCGTATACAATACAGTTAGCTTGTTTAAATTTAGTTGGCGCTAATGATGGTACAGTAAAAACATCAAATGCACAGATCATAACGCAACTGAATCATTTTAACAGGATTCTAGAGGCAGCGCTTGCACACGAAGCATCGTAATGTCAAATTACTTCTTTGCGAAAAACCATTAGCCAACATTGTAACAGCGCATAGCTAGTTCATTTGAATTTAGCTAACGCTAACGATGGTACAGTAAAACTGTTACTGCTACGGCACTCAGATCTTAACATTTGTACGAAGGTTTGTTAACATCATAAATGGCGAAAAAGTTGTTGTAATATTACATAACGATAATATAATAGTGCATAGCTAGTTCATCTACATTTAGTTAGCATCAACGGTGGTACAAACATCAAACGCACTGATCATAACGCAATGGGATCGTTTTAACTGGATACTAGAGCCAGTGCTTTCGGACAAATCATCGCAATGACAAATTACTGCTTGTGAAAAATTAAACATCGTAATAGTGCATAGATAGTTCATTTAAATGTAGTTAACGCTAACAATTGTAAAAACGCTACTGCTACAGCACCATTCTAAATAGCATTCGTATGAAAGCTTGTTAACATCAAATGGCAAAAAAAACCTGATGGGATATTAGCGTCCGATAAATTTAGTTAGTTCTAACGATGGTACAATAAAAATGTCAAACGCACTTATGAAGCAACGGGATCGTTTTAACGGGATTCTAGAGCCAGCGTTTTCGTACAAATCATCGTAATGACAAATTGCTGCGAAAAATGATTAATGAACATTGTAATTGTGCATAGCTATGGTTCATTGTGCTGGTGTCGGGTACAAGGAGGCAATGATACGTCACTTGAAGTGGCTATAGCTAAAACACCACTATTATCACTTTACTCGTAAATACGAAGATCACAATTCGTAAGAAATAACTACAGCGTATAGAAGTCGAGTGGCTAGATAGAGGCAGATCACCAAACAGGGCCAAATCAAGTAGCGGTGTTCAATCAAGGCGGAGCTTTCCATCAATCCTACAACCTGATGCATTTGTTAAATATATTAAAAAATGAAATCCATGTTTCGTTTGTGGAATTCTGTCGCGCCGCGTCGCCGTGACGACAGCATCAGTGTCAACACCTGCCGCTGCTGTATCCGGGGAAGAGCTGGGTGAGGATGGCTTGGAAAGGTTTGTTCACCGTCATTTCGTAGTTTTTGCCCAGATCGTGTCGGCAAGCCGGACAGGTGTAGACCTCGGCTTTGAAAGACCGCTGAAGGCATTCCTGCAAAGAGAAGAAAATCGTTTATGTCTTATTCATAAACGTACAAACTAGCGCATATGTAATGATGATCTGAAACCCTCAAGTGTTGCCATAAACCCTAAAAGTAGACATATTTATATTGCTGCTAATGCGATATTGTGATAGAAGTACAACATCAAGCTAATTTTCAGTTTTTACACATTTCAGAGATCGCACTCGCACAAAAGAAGAAAAAAAAACTTTACATCTCAGCACAATTTGGGAAAAAATAGTTTCAAATGGCTTTTTCATGAATTTAAAATTAATTTCTATTACTTTTTTCCAGGCCTGGGAGGGAGTGATCAAAGTATAATTAATGAATAAACAGATAAAAATAAATAAACATGCATAAAAAGTATAATTAGAATATTAAAATATAAAATAGTACAATTAAAATTTATTTATAATTAAGATAAATAAAAATAAATACATATTAAAAGAGTATAAAAGTAACATTTTAAAATAATTATATATTTATGTATAACTAAAATATAAAGTACAATTAAAATAAAGTATAATTAAAATAAAATACATAAAATTAAGTATAATTAAAATACTATAAATAAAAAGTAACTGAAATGGAGCATATTTACATTATATATATTAAATAGCTAAAATATAATTTTACTAAAGAATAATTACAAAAAAGTATAATCAAAATTAAAAATAAATAAGATGAAGTATAATTAAAAAATATAAAAAAGCAGAATTAAAATAACTAAAATACATATTAAATTATATGTGAAACAAAATTATAATTAAAAATATGTAACTAAAATACAACTTTAAAGCATAATTAAAATTACCAACAAAAGTACGATTAAAATAAAGAACTAAAATACAAAGTAAAATTAAATTTAAAACAAAATAAATAACCATTAAAATTATTAAACAATTAAGAATGCATGTAAAAACCTAAATTAAAATGAATAACCAAATAAAAAGGTAACTAAAATGCATATAAAAAGTTTAATTAAAAATTGATTTATTTGTGACCCTGCAGCAGTCTTAAGTCGCTGGGGTATATTTGTAGCAATAGCAAAAAATACATTGTATGGGTCAAAACGATAGATTTTTCTTAAATTAAAATTAAAGTAAAGATCATGTTCCATGAAGATATTTTGTAAATTTCCTACTGTAAATATATAAAAACTTAATTTTTGATTAGTAATATGCATTGCTAAGAACTTCATTTGGACAACTTTAAAGATGATTTTCTCAATATTTAGATTTTTTTGCACCCTCAGATTCCAGATTTTCAAATAGTTGTATCTCGGACAAATATTGTTCTACATACATCAATGGAAAGCTTATTTATTCAGCTTTCAGATTATGTATAAATCTCAATTTCGAAAAATTGACCCTCATGACTGGTTTTGTGCTCCAGGGTCACATTTAGAATTTAGAATTTCAAGGTCCATCACATGCATTCACAGGAAAATTTAATAGAGTTCTATTGTCCACTCTAAAGTCTGTTGCTGCTGTATAACATGAGTGTGTGTCTGTGGTTGTGGCCTCTTACCCTGCAGACGTTGTGTTGGCATTCTGTGGTGATGGGCTGATAGACGACTTCTTGGCAGCAGATGCACAAGAAAACCTCCTCCACTTTGTTGATGAAGCGCTACAAGTGCGACACGAACACATTAAACCGACAATATCCTCAGAGCACCTTAATTACAAGACACATTAAAGACGCTGGTCTGTACGTACAGGTCCGAGGTTGAGAGACTCCATGGCTTCGTCCCACAGCTTCTTGTTGAGCTCGTCGTCCTTGATCAAGGCCTTCTGCTCTTTGCTCAGTTTGTAGGCCTCCACTTTCATCTTCTTAGGCGTGCTTTTGGCCGGAGAGCTCTTCTCGTCCACTACGATTGAGAAAAGCGAGGATGTTATGACTGATCATCAGGTTTGGTCTTTATTAAACCAAGACGTTTTCACCTACCGGTCTGGGATTTCCTCTTCCTCTTGCCTTTAGTGGGTGTTTCATCAACGTCTTCGTCGTTTTTGTTCTCTTTCTCCTTTTCTTTCGCAGCCACAGCTTCCAGATAACCTTCAGGATACTGAAGCACAGGGGAATGAGGATTAACGGGCGAACCTTAATGAAGAAATAACTATTTTGGGCGAAATGCGAGTGAAATCTGGCAGACTTTACCTGCATGGTGAGCCCCAGTTTCTTAATGCGCTCTTTTCCTTCGCGGGTCCACGGCGCCGGTTCATCATCGTTTCGTTTCAGCAAGTATCTCCAAACGAGGAAGCCGGACTTGCCCTTCTCCGGCCAGTACTTCACCACCTAATAAACAGCGATTAATTAAGGGGTTCTGCAGGTATATATAAGACTTTAAAGACCCGTTTAAGACCAATTAAAGAAAATCAGGAATAAGTTACAGAAAACAATGCATCATGTTGTCCAAATGAGTTATTAGCAACACCTCAAAGTTAAAAACTTCCAACTTATTTTAGTATCACTGAGACACTATTATAGATTATTTCAGTTTTGAATCAGTTTTTATTTGTTTATCAATTTAAATTTTAGTAAAAAAAAAATTATCAGTTTCCTTAGTTTTTTGTCTACATCGTTTATTAATTTTTATTTCTTAAATTATTTAATTTATCTTATATTTAAGTTTTTTTAGTAATATAATTAAAATAATTAAATCAGTAAAAAGCGCAAAATAAAACGTATAAAATAAACTTAATACATAAAAATAACTAGAATACATATATGTATAATTTTAATAAAATTTAAATTATAATTAAAATTAAGCATGATTGAAAGAGTTTATTAATTTTTATTTCTTGAATTATTTTATTTTTCTTATATTTAAGCTATTTTAGTAATATAATTAAAATACTTAAATCAGTAAAAAGCGCAAAATAAAACGTATAATTAAAATAAGCGTAATACATTACAATAACCAAAATACATATATGTATAATTTGAATAAAATTTAAATTATAATTAAAATTAAGCATGATTGAAAGAGTTTATTAATTTTTATTTCTTGAATTATTTTATTTTTCTTATATTTAAACTATTTTAGTAATATAATTAAAATACTTAAATCAGTAAAAAGCACAAAATAAAACGTATAATTAAAATAAGCGTAATACATTACAATAACCAAAATACATATATGTATAATTTGAATAAAATTTAAATTATAATTAAAATTAAGCATGATTGAAAGAGTTTATTAATTTTTATTTCTTGAATTATTTTATTTTTCTTATATTTAAACTATTTTAGTAATATAATTAAAATACTTAAATCAGTAAAAAGCGCAAAATAAAACGTATAATTAAAATAAGCGTAATACATTACAATAACCAAAATACATATATGTATAATTTGAATAAAATAATATAAAAATTATAATTAAAATTAAGCATGATCGAAAGAGTATAATTAAACTTTTAGAAAATATATAATATATAACAAGTACAATTCTACTAAAAGTATAATTTAAAAAACTATGCATAATTAAAATAAAAACTAAACTACATTAAAAGTATCATTAAAATAATAAAAAATAATAATAATACAAATAACTATAACAATTAAATGCATATAAAAAATAAAGTGCGTATAATAAAAAAATAAAATAACAATAAAAACAACCAAAATAAATACAGAAAGTATAATTCAAATTTATCAGTAAGCTTCAATTTCAAGGTCCATCACATGCATTCACAGGAAATGTAATAACTTTCTACTGTTCACTTATATTAGGACTGGAAAACAAGACAAAAATATGGAGGAAGATATTGATTTTTTGCAGTGCAATGCAAAATTTATTGCCATGACTTTATACATTTTAAAACGTCCTGCTCTGATTTAAGACCTTTTGACGTCTTTAATCTGTGGAAGTGTGAATTAAGACTTTAAGAGTGGTTTAATACACAGAAACCCTGTAAAAACAGTGCAAACCGCCCCATCATGCTCAAAACACCAGGAATCGCTCGCCTTGTAAATGCCGTCGTATCGGTTGCCGTCTTCGGGACTGTACTTGCTGTGTTTGCGTCCTTTGGAGCTGCGCACGACTCTCACGGGTTTCCCAGCTTTCCAGTCTTTGGCCTCGGCGCCTTCCTTCTCGTTCACCGCCGCGTTGCAGTTCAGAGCAAGAGCCCTACAAACAACACATCAACAATAAAGCCTTAAAAACAGGAGAATTCACGCAAAACCTTTGTCCACTTTTTGTCCACGTTTGACGCAATATTCATTAATTACATCTTTAACACTTATTTTCCAGATTATTACTGAGAAGCAGCTTTGTATAAAGCGCTATATAAAAAAAAATAATAAAAAAAAACCAATAATTTCACACGATTTAAAAGCCATGATCCAACTACATGTTATTTATTAAACGTGTTAAAAACGTATTTGTCATCATTTGGATGAGAACTTATTCCCAGGACTTTTTAAATGTTTCTAACCCGAGTTTGCACCGCTCAGAGTATAAATATAATAGTGCTGTCAAACGATTAATCATAATCAGTATGATTTAGTTATTTAACCTAATTAATTTTATTATATTTGAATGCTGTCAACCGATTAATCGCATCCAAAATAAGTTTTTGTTTACATAATATATGCGTGTTCTGTGTATATTTATAATGTATATATAAATACACACATGCATGTATATATTTAAGAAAATATGTTACGTTTATATATTTAATATATTATATAATTTATATGAATATAAATATATACACGTAAATACATGTAAATATTTTCAAAATATATACATGCATGTGTGTATTTATATATACATTATAAATATACACAGAACACACATATATTATGTAAACAAAAACTTTTATTTTGGATGTGATTAATCGCGATTAATCGTTTGACAGCATTCAAATATAATAAAATTAATTAGGTTAAATAACTAAATCATACTGATTATGATAAAAAAAATTGAATGTTTTTATACAATATAAAAGATATAATTCAGTTCAAATTGTGTTCTTTTTTTTAAATACATTATAACTAATTTCCTTGTTTTCTTTGGTTCAGTGTACATTACTGTAATAAAAAAATATTAATAACAAATTTTGAATAATGAACTTTGAAAGCTATAATTCAATTAATTGTGTTAGTTATTAAATGTTAAAACCTTGTTTTGTATGGTTTAGTGTACAGTAATTATCAGTATTACAATTAATAATCCATATTTTATATTACATCTCTGTCTGAATACTGGTTTATCATCGTGTCACGTAAGTTTTACGACTGTTGTCTTGAATGCGCAGCGCTGCGTTTCGGACCTGTTCATGTTGGTGAGCTTCTGATCGCAGGACTGCTCGGCCGTCCTCTTGTTTCCTGAGAGGTCGCGACCCCCGGAGCCCGTGTAGGTGAACTCGTTACCATCGTCCTGATAAAGACAGAGTCACAGGTTAACAGAGGAAGGGAAAGACTTCTTAAAGGATGGTTTGGGGCGAGTATCTGCAGACGTACCACATCGTCTTCATAGCCTCCGGCAAGAACCAGTGAATAAGCGCCGTCGTTACTTCTGCCGTGAATCCCAGCGACGTGAGGCCTGTGAACGCCGGATTCACTCACCTGAGCGTCACAAACACAACAAGATCACCTTCATCTCCAGCACGTGTCCACATGCATGACCATCAGGAAAAAACAGGGTTCACACACCTTTCACTGACTTTTTTCTTGATTACTGGACTTTTATAAATATTTTTAACTTATGAATTATTTGTGCAGTGTTAAAGAAAAACACTTAAATCTATATTGCTTTATATAAATTAAAATTTAAATATGCAAATATATTTAAATATTATAAACAATTGAAAAAATTACACAAGTCCATTTAAAACAATTGTTTAAATTATTTTTATATTAAATATGTAGTATAAAAATATCTTAATTTTATGATAAAACGATTACGAAACATTATTAGCTTGGTCATTATACAATTTTAAAGAAATGTGTTGCAAACACTATGTAATTGTTTTAAACATCTTCATAAACAAAACTTTAGAAATAAGAAAATAAGACTTTCTATGACTTATTTCTAAGAGAGTAGAAATAAGTCATTTAGATAAGATAGGAAAAACTATTTTACGTTTTATTTTGCATTATTTACTCGTTTTATTCCATTATTAAACTAATAATGGAAACTATAATTTATATTAAAAAAAATGTAATTTACTTTTTATAAAAACTTTTTTTTATAAAACTAATATTGATACTACTAATACTAATAATGGAAACTGTAATTAAACTATAAAAAGATATAATTTTTAATATAAATAAAACTAATACTTTTTAGGGTTTCCATGATTATAGAAGGCCTATAAAAAAAATCTAGTATTATTTACTATTAAACTAATTTTGGAAACTATAATTTAATTAATGTAATTTTTTTAAATAAAACTAATACTAATAATGGAAACTATAATTAAACCATCTAAATTTTATAATTATTCTTAATAATAAAACTAGTACTTTTTAGAGTTTCCATGATTTATAAAAGGCCTAAAAAAATTATAATAATAAAAAATAAATAAATAATTATATATATATATTTTTTTTTTTTTAACTAGTTTTACTCAATTATTAAACTAATAATGGAAACTATAAATTAAAAAAATATTTAAAAAATAATAATAATAAATTCAAATTTTTTAAATAAAACACTTTCTAGGGTTCGTGACCATAAACAAGATAAACTCGAGCAGATCAGAGATGCCCACCTGCACTCTAAATTTCCACAGCATTCCCACTGGGACTCCAGGAACGGGGCCGTGATGGTTGGAGGGAACGATGGTGCACTGTTTAGTGCGGCCGACACACGCCATACCCTGCCAAACGAGACAGCAGGCTCATAAACACTTCATCTGAACTAATCCCACCTCTGTTTGCGCATGCGTCCGTCTGAAACGCACCTTCCCCCAGTCCCTCTGACTGGACGAGCTCGCCGACGCCATCTTGGCCTTCTTCTTGCTTTCCTTCAGCTTCTCTCCAGCCAGAACCACCTCGCTGGCATCGTTACGGCATTCAGGACAATACCTGCGGAAAAAAACAATTATAGTGGAATCGACACGTTTCCAATTTTTTTTTTTATTTGCTCATCGACAATTTGCGCAATGGTTTCATGAGCAATTAACGCAAATTTGTTTCACTAACTGAAGGCAAAAACGTAATATAATGTAGTTTTACAAACATTTTACATATTCATTTCGCCAGAAGGTTGTTGGTTCAAATCCCTCAAGAGTCGATTTATTGTAGCTTTGAATTAAAGTATTAGATAAATGGCGAGTAATTAGTGGAGAAATCGTCACAAGAATGGTTTTATGAACACTTACACAAATTTCATCAATTTACAAACGACAGAGATTGTTACACCAAACTATGTAATTGTTTTAAATACTTTTAATATTTAAATATTGTATAAACAAAACTGTATGCAAATGTTAACCATGAACTTTTTTCTTCATTATACAATTAAATTATTTAAGTTTGTAGATAAATTTGAGACAAACCTTGCGAACATGAAAATAGAGCTAAAGCTAACAAGTTTTTTTATTTTGGCAGAAGGTTTTTGGTTCAAATCCCTCGAGAGTCTATTTTTTGTTGCTTTGGAGGAATGTATTAGATAAATGAGTAATTAATTGGTTACGGAGAAATCGTTTACCAGTCCTTGTCGCAAGAATGGTTTTATGAACACTGAGCAATTTACACAAATTCAACAATTTGCCAATTATTTTAGAATTTAGTTTAACAAATCTATGTAATTATTTTAAATATCTTTAATATATTTAAATATTGTATAAACAACTGTATGATAAGTTAGTTAACTAATTAATTTTTTCTTCATTATGTAATTAAAATATTTACATTTGTAGACAAATTTACAAGACAAACTTTAAGCATGAAACCACAGCTAAAGCTAACAAGTTGGCTGTTGACAAGGTTGTCGTTTCAAATCCCTTAAGAGTATTTATTGTTGCTTTGGATGAACATATTAGATAAATGATGAGTAATTAGAGATGCAGAACTTGATTACTAGTCCTTGTTGCGAGAATGGTTTTACAAACACTGTACATTCCATTTATTCAATTTTAGAGCCAAGTGTAACAAATCTATGTAATTGAGAGCTTTATTTGTAAACATTGCATAAACAAAACTTTATGATCAAAGTGGATTACAGTGAACTTTCTCTTCATTATACAATTTAAATATTTAAGTTTGTAGCTAAATTTAAGAGATTGAGCACTAATTTTTTTTTGACGTCACCAGAAGTTTGTTGGTTCAAATCCCTCAAGAGTCGATTTGTTGCTGCTTTGGAAGAACGTATTAAACGAGCAATTAGTGACGGAGAACTAATTTACCAGTCTTCGTCACATGAACGGTTTTACGAACAGTTTACGAGCAATTTACACAAATTCAGCAATTTTAGAGATTGTTACACTAAACTACGTAATCGTTTTAAATATCTTTCATATATTTGAATCTTGTATAAACAAGTTTGTATGGAAAATGTTAACTATAGACTTTTTTCATTATACAATTAAAATGCTTAAGTTCGTAGATAAATTTGAGAAACTTTGTGAGTTTTTTGACATCACCAGAAGGTTGTTGGTTCAAATCCCTCAAGATTAAATTTATTGTTACTTTGGAAGAACGTATTAAATTATTAATTAGTGACGGAGAACTAATTTACCAGACTTCGTTACAATAATGGTTTTACGAACAGTTTACAAGCGATTTACACAAATTCAGCAATTTACAAATAATATTAGAGATTGTTACACTAAGCTACGTAATTGTTTTAAATATCTTTAACATATTTAAATCTTGTATAAACAAATTTGTATGGAAATTATCAAACTTTCTTCATTATACAATTAAAATACTTAAGTTCGTAGATAAATTTGAGACAAATTTTGCACGTTTTTTGACGTCACCAGAAGGTTGTTGGTTCAAATCCCTCAAGAGTTGATTTGTCGCTGCTTTGGACAGAACTATTAGATAAACTCGTATACCAGTCCTCATCCTCAGGGATGGTGGTGAGCGGTGGGTTCAGGCAGTAGGTGTGAAAAGCCATGTCGCATTCGTCGCACAGCAGCTGTTTGTCGGGATCCTGCTTCACGCCGCAAACGTGACAGTTGCACATGCGGCAGTTCTTCTTCGGGTCGTCTTTGCAGACCTTGCACTCGGGTCCGTTCGACCCTGATTTGACAGAAACGAGGCACCTTATCGTTTGCGCTCAACATACTGCATCCGAATACCGCAAAATTGAAATGTAGGTTCGAAACGACACAAAGTCAGACTCACGCTTGAGAGGGCTGTCAGAAGAGGCTCCTGGACCCTCCGAACTTCCCGGCTCCTCGATCTTGTAGATTTCGGTTACGAACATGATGCGACAGTCGTTGAGAGAATCGCCAGCATCTCTGTAGAAAGTGTGGATAAACATTGTGAACGAAAAAAATAAATAAATGAACAGCAAGACATTTATAGTGGAACCAATGCAATTTTAAATATCTGATTTGCTCAACAGCAATTAGCACACTGGTTTCACAAGGAATTAGTGCAAGTTTGTTCTGCTGAAGGTAACAACTTCTATAAAAAGTGGCTTTACAAACATTTTACATATTCATTCTTGCATAAAAATTATTTTTCAAATACTTTAGGGCCTTTCGCACCGCTTTAGTTCCAGAACTAAATGTACAGTACTAAAGTACTGGGACGATTTTGCGCGAACTATTTCCCAGTACCATTTAAAGGGTTGCATTCGCACCGAGAGTGTGTATTAAGAAGTGACGTAAGCCGGTCGACAGCGTCGTCATTTGTGCGCGGCGTTCAACAACAGAAACAAAGAAAAACAACATTAAGGCAGTCCGGTACTAAAATCGCACCCAGTTCCGGTGGTGCGAAAACGCCAAAAAGTGGGTAGTTCCACAATTAGTTCTGGTACTATGAAAAGGTTCCCGCGGTGCGAAAGGCCTATTTGAGGGATGTACACAAATCTACAAATGATTGTAGAGCTTAATGTAACAAATTTGTAATATTTATTATACAAAACAACTTAAATTAAAAAACAATTTTAATTGTATAAAATAATTAAATTTCTACATTTATTACAAACTTTGTGAACAAACCAACAGAAAGAAAAAGGCCATCAAGACGTCTATAATGGAATAGACAATTTTAATAGGATTTAATGAGCATTTAACGCAAAACTCGTTCTGCTAACTGAGTGCAACATATTGCGTAAAAAGTAGTTCGACATTTTACATGTTCCTGCATAAGAACCTTTTTATGAACACTTTGAGAGGTTTACCAATGAATTTAGAGTCGTGTAACAAACGGTATAATTGTTTTAAATATATTTATATATTTTTAAATGTGATTTTAATTGTATAATAAAACGTTTGTTATAATTACAATATTTAGTTATATATAGCTACAATTAATATTATGATTAAACTTTGTTCATTATACAATTCAAATCATTAAGTTTGCAGAGAACACAAAATATATAAGAAACGTGTGAGCAAATCAACAGAAAGAAAAAATTAAAGCAAGGCAATTTTCATGAGAAATTAATGCTAATTTGTTCTGCTAACTGAAAGTGACGCCTTATGTAAAAAGTGGTTTGATAAACATTCCTTTTCGCGTTTACACTTTACAAGAGATTTAAACATTTGATAATTTACAAATAATTTTAAAGCCTAAACCACACTATATAATTGTTTTGAAACATGCATTTTAATTGCATAGTAAAACTTCATAATTAAGTTCATAATTAACTACGTAATTTAAATCATTAAGTTTGTAAATAATTCAAATATGATAAACTCATATTAGACTAATAAAAGCAAGACATTTATAGTGGAATAGACCATTTTTAATTAGATTTCCTCATCGAACAAGACAATTTCCTTAAGAATGAGCAATGAATGCAAATACATAAGTAAAATGTTGGTCAAACCACACTTGCATTTGTTCTTGCACAAGAACATTTTTTCTACTTGGTTTGGCTAAAAGCTTGGCTTAAGGAAGTGCAAAAGATGCTATTTCAAAGAATCTTGGTAACCAAAGAGTTGATGGTAGCTTTTGACTTCCATAGTATTTTTTCCATACTATGGATATCAATGACTACCGTTAACTGTTTGGTTACCATATAAAGTCTCAAAATATTTTCTTTTATGTTCAACAGAATAAAGAAGCTCATTTGGAACAAGTGGAGGATGAGTAAATGAAGAGATTTTAAATTTTTTTAGGTGAACTATCCTTTTAACCCTAAAAATGGCAAGACCATAAAGAGACATCAGAAAATTTATTTATTGCTATTTTCCATCTTATTGGGACACAAATAATACAACTTGATCATTTTTTTTTCAAAACTTTTAATTTTTATTTTAATGTTTGTGTCCCACAGGATACGTTGCCAGTTTGGGGTATAAATTAACTGAAAACAGAATACTTGTTTATCAATGCTTGTTACAACATGGTTGTAATTCCTGAACACTTTGGAATACAGAACTACGGTTGGTCTCTTTTTAAAGAAGAAACATAGCAGATTAGGGATGCACCGAAATGAAAATTCTTGGCTGAAGCCGAACAAAATGAAACACTGGGCCGAATGCCGAACACGGTTTTTCACATTTTGCCAATTTTTTCACCATTGCATAAATTAAATGGCCAAAATGTGCTTTTTACTGTTTTGTCCCGCTTTTCAAATAAAAAAATCAATTACAAAACAGCAATTTAAAAATATTTACTTAACACTGAATGTTGACAAATGATTCTCATTACGAATTTGGGAAGACGTTTGTTGCACGTATCGCATTGTCACATGCCTTGTAAAAATTCATAAAAATGTTACCGAGCAGCTGACGAGTAACACTGTTTCAGCACAAATTTCCCCTCGTGCTTTGGACTTTGAACCCTGGCGCCGCGAGCTCGTGCAGCGCTGTTTGAACACATGCAATTCCTGCATGTATTAGAAAACATAACATTCTGCAGTTTATTTAATCGTTTAAGGGCATTTCGCGATTTTAATCATCATACAGTAACCAGCAACAACCACCCTTCCTCTTCTCACAGCACTAAACAGCACTAAACAGTCTCTCGCTGTCGGTGCTTGTAATGATTTTTGCGTCTTTCGGCCGAATAATTTCGGTTGCCGAACATTCGGTGCATCCCTATAGCAGATTATTGCTGAAGTGAAAGCATTTCAAAAAAAGAAAGTATAAAAAAGTTATAGACGTTTAAGTTTGCAGTAAAGATAATGCAGTATACTAATTTTTAAAAAATTGTATATAAAATAAACACTTTATAAAATGTTGCACTTCAAATTGCTATAAAATCTAAGCCATATGTCTAACCAAGTTATGTTCCAAATTTGAAGTTGATATCACCAAAATTGTGGTTCCTGTGAGATTTTGTTTGGGCACTATACCAAAAATAACCACTGGGTGACACCCACCAAAACTGTATTGAATTCTTTTGATGCAGTTTTCTGTCACAAATCAATAATTTTCTGTCACAATATCACTTCTATTACAAAACAGTCACCAAATATGGAACCTTGACTGTCAGACCTTTCCAATGATATGTGTTTTGTCAAGATTACAAAAAGATTTGATTTTCTAAAACACAAGCCACAAAATCACAGAGTATATATGTCAAGTATATATATATTATATATGTGTTTATATATCTTGCTTTATACCCCTAAAAGGGCGACATATCCCCTGAGATACAAACATTTAGAGACGGATTACAAAAAATGTAAGCATTTCATTCATAAACTTTCAATGTAAACCTAATAAGCTAATGCTTAACAACAGCTTTTTAAACAGGCAAGTCCCCTCCAACGTGTGTAAATATGTGAACTAGATCAACTTTTTTAGGAGGGTGAGTAGATTTCCCACTACAGGCGGCCATGCAGTTTTAAATGCTGCCCGTGAGCTAAACAAAGAATGTATGAACAAAGTCAATATATCTAAATATTCACAACAAACAACCTTTCAAAATGAAACCAAGAAATGAGACCTACACTTTCCCTGCCTCTCAAATGTTTGTATCCCACAGGATACGTTGCCAGTTTTGGGGTTAAAGACTAAACGTCGCCCTACCCGAGCAGGATCTTGCCGTAAACCTCGCGCTGGGTGCGCGTCTCCCTCTTCCTCTGGATCTCGGCGTCGTACCAGTAGCCGCGCTCCTTGGGCTCGTCGGGGTTGTAGTTCACCATCACGATCATGCCCTGCTCCAGCTGGTGCCACTGGTAGACGGTGCGCGCCCGTGGACGGACGTCTTTCCCACGCAGCTGCACCACGCCGTTCTCAGGGTAACTGCACAGAGCAAACGCATGCGCGATTAGCATTTACTGGCATGGGACGTTTAAACAGACCGTCTTTGATGAACGGTTTAAGATGCAGATGAAAGGAAAGACTGAAACTTGGAGACGTTAACGGGTGCATGAAGCGCTCAATGAATCCAGGTGTTCAACATGATAAAATCTGTTCAAATTTGGAGGGAAAAAACCCTATATTTTGTAGATCATTTCAGTGAGTTTGGAAAAGACAAAGTTAAGTATTTTTGTTGTTAGTAACCTTAAAAGCTTTACTCCCAAATATTCTCCTCCAAGTCAATTCAACCTTACAATTAGGCCATAAAACATCTGACTGAATATGACTTGAGATTCAGAAAGTGAATCATCTGTTAACTTCGACCGATTCAAAATCTTCATTTTTCATGACTCATTGATTCATTTAAGATTTTTGATTCAGATTAATTTGGGCATAGTTCAGTTATAAAGTCCATTTTGCTTACAGAAAGAGATCGTCTCAATGCTGATGTAAATTACATGGTTTCAAAGCAATAACTCATCTTTGAACCATTCTTTAAAGGAATCGGCTCACAGAAGTCATTTGTTCAGTATATTGAATCAGGCTACACTGGCCACATTGTATATTCGTTTTTGTGTTCAGCTTACAAGGACTCGATATAAAGACGTTTCTTGCCATTATTTTGTAGTAAACAAAATATTTGTCATACAATTTGGACTAGTGCTGGGCGGTATACCGGTTCATACCGAATACTGGTGTTTATTTTTGTTATGATGTGAATTTTTAAAATACCGCAATACCGGTGTATGTCGAAGAAGAATTGTTAAATAAATTGTTATTTGTGTTTTCTTTGCGCTCAAAAAGTATTCTCGTAGCGTCGCAAAACTGAAGTTGAGCCACTGATGTCACACGGACTGTTTTACCTTGTTCTTACTACGTTTCTGGACCTGGGAACGTTTCAGTTGCATTGCTGTCTATGCAGGGTCTGAGATAGGCCTGTCACGATAACAGCTTTTTGTTGTGTGATACATTGCCCCAGAAATAATTGCGATAAGCGATATTACTGTCATTTTAACATTTTATGCCACTGAATATATAATCATAATGTAACAGCATAATAATGCAAGAAGGTCTACACACTTCCAAATGACAACGAACTTTTAATTTTTAAGAATATTTAGATCATGGAAATTAAGTATCAAAATATTAGATACCTTAAAAAACCTGAATAATAGTAAATAAACATTTTCTAACAAAAAAGTGCAAAGTAACAAGTAGAAAAAAAAAGAAAAATGCACAAAGACTTGTATGGAGACTTTTCTCATCTACAGATTTGTCTCTGACCTTCTTTTCTCTGTAAATTAAGGGTGCACACTATTGCTGAGAACCACAATCACTACTTAGCAGTCAGATGTCCGTATGCACAAAGGCACAGATCCCTAAACAAGACCATATCTGCAGATGAAAGGGTGAACTAGCCCTTTAAGCCAGATAAACCCAATCCCTGCCCACATTAGAGAAGTAAAACGGCTTTTGAATGCCTCACGTCACCTGTTTGCCCCTGTAAAAGAGTCGCTGCCTCTGGGGTTCGACGTTGAAGAGCTCTGCGATCTTCACGCGCAGCTCATCCACCTTGGTGAGCTTGGACAAGGAGTCGACCCGATGGGTCTCCTTGCCATCCATAGTGCGCACCTGGATCCACATGGCGGCAAACCTGCAACAAGCGACGTCAGCGAGTGAGATTGTTTCCCGCCTTGCTTTTTATAGTTCAGACAATGGCTTCGAGCCAAGACCTTCAAACGAGCAGGAAAAAGGTGTTCATTTCACAGTGACGTGAGCGACACGGGCAGCTTTTTCCTCATTCATCTCCTCCGGCGCTTTTAGGGTTGATACTCTGAGAAGCTGCTTTAAAGCAGTCTGTTTCTTTACAACTTTATGTAGAGTTGTGTTAACTTTACAAAAAAAAAATCACGCATTAGCATGATACAGTGATGCTAACGAATGGTAAAACCTAAGGTACTTTCATTTCTAAGCATTTCAACACCATTTGACCAATATTTTCCATTAGTTTTCCAATTTACAGGTCTTCCATGAATGTCCGAACGTGGAGTATGTATATCATGAGACTAAATGATTACAATATTTATATACAATGGTATTACAAACATACGCCAAAGAACACTAATGTAAAGCATGGCTTTACCATGGTACGTGCCCAAAAAACACAGCTTTATTATGGTATATGCCCAAAAAACATGGTATTATCAAAGTACATGCCAAAAAACATGGTATTAGCATGGCGCATGCCCAAAAACATGGCTTTAGCATGGCACACGCCCACAAAACATGGTATTACTAAGGTACGTGCCCAAAAAACATGGTATTATCAAGGTACGTGCCCCGAAAAACATGGTATTACCATAGTGCATGCCCAAAAACATTGCTTTTCCATGGCACATGCCCAAAAAACATGGTATTACCAAGGTATGTGCCCAAAAAACATGACATTACCAAGGTATGTGCCCAAAAAACATGACATTACCAAGGTATGTGCCCAAAAAACATGGCATTACCAAGGTATGTGCCCAAAAAACATGACATTACCAATGGTACAAACCATGGTATCACCATGCTACATGTCAAGATTCAATTTCAAATTGGCGTGAGAACTTATTCGCCATACCTACGGGTGAAGTAGTGTATAATAGCGTTAAAAAAAAAACCTTGTTGACAATCTCAGCTCTTCAAACCACGCCTGTTATTGGCGGAAATAGACGGAAACGCCCCCTAACGTCACTCAATGGCACTGCAGTGGGTGAAATAACATGTCTTTATATTGTCGACTTTAAACCAACAACAGGAAGCTGGAATGAGACTTGAACTTCAGATATGAGTCTATTTGAGGTTTATTTGTAGAAATCAGTCAGTTCAAACAGGAATGAACGCAAATCGCGTTGATTTAATTAAGGGGTTGTGTGCTGGTCATGATGTGGGTGGTCTCGAATCGAAAACAGACACTTAAATGACAAATATAAACTAGGACCAATTGAAAATGAGTGGAATTACAAACATTTATCATTTTAATTACATATAATGAGTTTATGTAAAACAAACCCATCCAGAATTCCTACATTACTCAAGTTACACCTTCACAAACACTTTCCTGTCTGTTATTGTCATGTTTTGAACTGTTGTGCACAAATACGCGTATTTATTTCAGAATTCAAGACATTAATAACAAATTTAATTGCAAAAAAAATCGCATTAACCTCACAATTAGACTTAATTTCGGGGTATTTGGCCAATATAAAATAAATTCAAAGACAAAGACAGAAAGTCAAAGACAGAAAAGTGTGAAAAGCGCTAAATACTATATAAATATTAACATGCACACATTAAACATGCGAGTTTATTAATATTTAGATAGTAAAATAAGGCGCGTGCGCACGGTTTCATAGACAATACCTTTAAATAAAAACCGAAACTGGTTTTAAAAACGGATCTTTACCTGTAATCTTCCTCTTGGGAATAGAAGACGTGATTTTAATTCAATAAACGCGCTAAAAGTGTGAAAACGTTGCACTTTTGTTACAGTTCAACCCCGCCGCGAAACGCAATATAACTGGGGTTCGAATCAATAAAAGTGTTCAACAACGTGTTTCCCCTCCCGCCGCAGGCACGGCAGGCCGCTGATTGGCGGAGCGGAGTTCCGAACCGCTCGCTGATTGGTCGGGCCGCGCGTCACTTACGCATGTTGCCGGAGCTTAGGCTCAGCGCGCGAAACCCTGCTCTCGTTGTCGCACATGCTCGGCTCTGCTGTAATCTCGCGAAATTTGGCGGCATATTACATAATAAAAGCACACGTTAAAAGAATCTCTTATTTTTAATTAATATATAATTAGCATGTGTTTACTAAATTTAAGCAAAACAAAATATTTCAATATATATTGAACGTCAAGTGATTAATACGTAAACGATTAATTTATTTATTTAATTAATGATATAAACGTTGCTCTTAATGTTGAATCTTAATGTTAACTATTTTTAATAATAAAAAAAAAACTATGTTTCAAATATGGATATTAAAATCACACGTGAAAAAGATATTTTCTATTGTTAATTTATTATTTACTTAGCAAAATATGAAGTAATTGCAGGAGCATATGGGATATAAACAGTATAAAATAATTCCTAATGTAATGCCTGCCTTTGACTATCACATTGTTAAATGTGGTGTCTTTATGCAAAACAAAGAGATTGAATTTCTGTGCAATAATATGTTGATTGCAGCCAAGTTTTATATACATAAATGTAGATTTGTTTAAGTTTCTCCTTGTTTTGAGGAATTTAAAAATTATTTTAGGATTTTGTTTCAATCAATAAAACGAAGAGTGCCTTAAAACTCTCTAAACTTCTGGCAACATACTTGGATTATAATTTGTTTATAATTTGCAATGATGATAATGCCTGCTTGGCTGACTGTTATTTGAAGGTTTAGTAAAGTGATTAAAAAAAAGAAAGAAAAAAAAAAGAATAAATAAATAAAAACTTTTCCCAGTCAATTTTACTGCCATCTTCTGGTCATTTTAAGTCCTACAGAAGTCGACAGAGTTTAACTTCTTCCGCATTACAAGAGAAAGCGAAAAGACAAACATTCCGTCTTGGGAACATTTAGGTGTCACTTAATGTTTTAGAAACAAAACAACCGCAAACAGCGTCCTTATGTCTGACAGTCAGTCCATTTATGCGCCGTTTATTCTGTGAAGGTGTCAAAGTCTGTTTCTGTTTCCCAGTTCCTGCTTCTGGATGAATGCAGAACTATAACAAAGGTAAGACACGTTTTTTGTGCTTCTTTGTAATGTTTATAAAATACATATGAATGATGTAGTATTTATTTATACATTATTTGGTCAAAGTCACGTCTGACAGTCATTTCAGACTTCGCTCTTTGAAGAAAACAGTCGATGAGTCATTAAACACATCAATATTCCATTTTATTATTCAAACACCATTTATGATCTAGTCAACGAACCCAGCTTAACATAGAACGTTTTAAGAACGTAGGCTGTAACGTTCTGGTAAGGTTCTCTCGAATTTACGAACAAAAGTTCTTCTAGTAACGTTAATATAGAACGCTCGATCAAAGTGCTGCTAATAATGTTCTCAAAACGTTCGCACAAAAACTAAGCAGAATGTTTTCTAAAACATTTTAGTTGGATATTCGTCTGATATTTTTAAATGTTACTACTTGCTTCAAAGAACGTTCAAAAGTAACGTTTCCGTAATGTTCGCAAAATTCTAAAACTGAATGTTCCCTTAACGTTTGCATAAAACGTTTTTAAAACATTTTTAAAAAACTGGACGTTTTGAACGTGCATAAAAGTTAACATTCCCATTTTTTACAAAATGATAAAACTGTTCCCGTTCACATAACCAGGAATTTTTTTTAAAGCCTTTAAAATTTTTTATATTTTGAACGTTTAGAGAACATCCAATAGTAACGTTTCCATAATGTTTGCAAGATGATAATATGTAATGTTTCTTTAACGTTTGTATAACCAGGAAAAAAAAAAAGTTTTTACAACATTTTTAAAAACTGGACGTTTTGAAAGTTCCGAGAACATTCAGAAATAACGTATTATTAACTTAATGGGAACGTTAGCAAAACGTTCTTAGAACATATGAAGTAAAAAAAGTAAATAAAAGAGTTATCTGTTTTTGCAAATGAACTCTTCATATTTTTGTTAGCTGGGGACATAGTAATATTAATATTGAAATATTGTAATCGTCTCATAACTTTCACTTTTTCTTTCAGCATTCAGAAGCTCAAGCGCATCTAAGTGACTTCAGATTGAATGGAATGGCTTGAACATGTCATATGAGAGCACATATTCACGTATGATCATCCGTACTTGCGTAAACAATGGCAGACGGTGGAGTAGAGCTTATGGATCAAGGATTTGCGAATCTTGCCAAGGCATTTGAGATCCTTTCCCAGGCTGGGCAGGAACGATGGGTCAGCCTGACGTTAAAAATGGACCGCAGGCGGTCGGAGGAATTGGTGAATGCCATGTGCTTGATTCTCCTGAAGAGGATTGGAGAGGCGCACGCTAAGCTAACGGCTAACAGCGACAACAGCATTGGAAAATACTTGGCCGAAATGGTCAAAATGCACGGAGAACGTGTCAACAGTAGCCACATTGGCGGTTTTAAGTCAACAGATGTCAATACGTTATTGGATATCGCCAGAATTTTCGCCATTTTGGTGCAGGAGAGATTGTGCGACAAATCGCTACGAGATCAAGCATACCGCGAGGCTCTTGCGTCGAGCAGAATGGCTGGTTTGCTATCTTTAGACGTCGAGGAGGAAGTAAAGCAAGTCTGCGGGCCTGACATTATCAATGAATCCAACACCGAACGTCCTACTGAAACTTACAATTTGACGTCGCTAGAGCGAAACGAAAGCCCTCCATCATCTCAGCAATCAAGTTCGCGCTATAGTCTCGAAATTAGCTTGGCAACAGCTACAGAATCCAATATGGAACAATCAAAGCCGATGAGTCTACGAACGCCAACAGATAGCGAAACTACAACCAGTCAAGACCAACTACGACATCGTCTTAATAAATCGGCTAATATTTGCGCAAAGAACCAGCTACCGACAGCGGAAGTCAATGGCGCGACAAAGTCGAAGCAGTGTCTAGACCACAACGGAAGCTCCCAACTTGTGACATCCAAAAACACGAATCTCGATTTTTCGTCCACCCCAAACGATGGCGACAAACTCCGAGCTCAGCCACTAAACGCTACAGATCAGAAACCGACAACTCAACCTGCCAGTTTTCGCTCTCCAGAACCGAGCCAAAGCGACGTCGAAGAAACTTTTTACGACTTTGTGATCCTACACGAAGCCGAAGACGCGGACGAGGCGCAAAGACTCAGGGATAAACTTGAGAGTATCATCCGTGGAGTCGGCGCGACATTTTCCGATGAATTCGCGCAACCTGGAAAGTCGACGTTGCAATGTATGGAGGACGCCATCGAGAATTCGGCATTCACGCTGCTGCTGCTCACCCAGAACTTCAACTCCAACCTCAGCGTGACCAGCGCCGATTCAGCGATCGTGAATTCGCTGGAAAACCACCACAAAATGAACTCCGTAATTCCGCTGCTACCTCGCAAGAACTGTTTGTCGCGCAAAAGTTTTCCGTTGGTGCTTCAGACGAAGGTTCCTCTCGATGAAAGCAGCAGAATGTTCGAACGCAACGCCCAAAAGGCCATCGCACGGGAAAAAGTGGCAATCCAAAAGACGGTTTGGATGACCAAACAGCGTCGTAAGAAACTAGTCGAGGAACAGAAGAGACTACAAGAGGAGAACGCCATAAAAGCGGAGCTACGACGAGAGGAGGAAAAATTAGCGCGGCTGAGACTAGAAAGCGAAATTCAGCAAAATAACATGTTTTGTGGTGCATCTGCACCAATGCATCCACCTCCGGCACATGGGCCGATGCATTCGCAACATGGCGCATTGCAGCAGCAGCAACCATCGTGCATCCACATCGAGAATGCGCAGAACGTTATGATCGGAAATCACTCAACGATGAATATTGACCATGCTAAAAACTCGGCCGATGAGTTTGATTTTTAAACCTGGTGTTTAAAGTGTTTTTTCACTAAAATAGGTGTTGTGAGAAATCACGCGTGTTTCTGAGAAAGAACTGTCGTTTTAGCAAATCAGGTTTGCTGACATCTGGTTGGCTGATGAGTTTTTGGGGGCGGGGTTTGGAGAATGCCTGATGGTCAACTACAACTACCAAAAAGTACAAGAAAAAGTGTTTCGTATCATTGTATTAATTTCAACCTTAGGGCTGTCGGTATGTTTTATGGTGGTTTATGGGTCTTTTTTTTTTTTTTTTGAGTCTAAGCTTCATTTCCATGTTCAACAATTCATATGGTTATCACAGTTAATTTTTGCTTTAAAGATCATAAAGTTGATAAAGAAAGAAAAATGTCAACTGAGAGCAAAATAGAGTTACTGTGAGGTAAAAGGTTGTTTTAGTAAAATAAATAAAATCATATGACAGCAAGGAAAATGTTTACACGTTTTTCTTTTGTATGATTTACGGTTAAGTTTTCTCATGACAAACTAAGCTAAATTATTCTGTATTACTCTGCTAATTACTGTGGAGAATTTCTTAATTTCTGAATAAACAATAAGCCTGTATCAAAAAAATTGTGCGTTTAGTGGATTTCTATATGAACATGTAAAATATATCAATCATGTCACCTATTTCGGTCATATTAATTAATTAACTTACTAACTTTGACAAAAATTAACAAATCAATAAACTAAAAAAAAGAATTATTTTAAGAAATATCTGTTCATATAAAATATAACAATTAAGAAAACGAATTGAGGAAACGATTCATGAAAAGAAACCAGCATATAATATTCAAAACATACTTCGTGAGACGTCAGAGATCAGGCGTCTGTTCATTGGCTGCTCCCTGACGTTGCTCCTCCCACGGAATTGCGTCACAAGGTCACCAGCCAAACAGGTCACTCGCAGCGCTTCCAAGATGGCAGCCTCCTTGTGTCAGTGTTACCAGGTGAGTTTCTCATTTTAAGCGTTGTTTAAGCGCTCATCAACAGCGCGATTAATATGTGCGTGCTAAACACAGTGTTCGCGATTACAGCAGCACGAGCCCACGCTTGGCTCACCAGAACCGCGCGTGTTTAATGCAGAAATGTGATTAGATTGATCAGGCATGCTTATGGAACATGATTCTGGCCTTGATGTAAATGTAAATATTGCAATAACATAACAAACGAAGCTCTTAAATCACGTTACTTGAGTACAAATCACAAAACAATACTGAGCAGAAATTGATTATTGTGTTCAGACCACTTAACCATAAAGTACCATGGTTTTTCCATGCTTTTTGGACATGTACCATAGAAACACTAAAGGTATCCTTTGGGGAAGCATGGCAGATTTATGAAATGTGATTTATGTATGTGTAATATCTTGTTTGTAAGTGACATCAGGACCTGAGCATGTTTATCTGTGACCACCAGACTGTAGTTCAGAATTGTGGAAATAATGTATTATTATGCATGTGTTTCTCCTCAGCTGTGTGTCAGGAGAAGTTCTGCACTTATAGTCGCTCGTCAGTATGCATCATTATACGACAGAGCTCATGTGTACAGGATATGTGGCCCAGTGGCCGCTATGGCGCAGGTGAGTGTCGCACGTCATTCGTTTTTTGTGAAAAGTGTGATTTGACAGTGTTTTTCACATGAGTGTGATGTGCAGGCGAGGTTTATGTCCTCCGGTGGCAGTCGGAAGGGCTTTCTGGGAGAGTTTCTGGACAATCTCAAGCAGGAACTGAGCAAGAACAAGGAGATGAAGGAGAACATCCAGAAGTTTCGCGAGGAGGCCAGAAAGCTAGAGGAGTCGGAAGCACTCAAGCAAGCCAGGAGGAAATACGTACGAATCTTTCATGTCTAACGTGATTCTAAAATAGCCAAACACATTATTTCTCCATTGTGAAATTGTGTTTTTTTGTTGGTGTCTTCCAGCAAACCATCGAGTCCGAAACAGTTAAAACTTCTGAAGTGTTGAAGAAAACACTCGGGACGATATCAGAGACGGTGAAGGAGGTGAGTGTAATTACCGCTGGTTTTTGGGTGTTCCAGCACATCTTGACGTGCAGTTTTTCTCATTTCAGAGCACATTTATGTTTATGTATTCATTAGACGTGCAGCGATTTGCATAAGTGCTGAACGTTATGTTTCTGCAGAGTGTTTGCGCTGCAGTATTGCCATGTTCTGAGAAGGATTACGTTGCAAAATTATTTCTTGGATTTTGTTCTGATTTTATGTGGAAAACAGGCAAAAATATATATATTTTTTTTCATGCACTCAATTGTTTTTTCATGCACTCAATTGTTTTTTCATGCACTCAATGGTCAAGTCGGTGTTTGTTTTGTTTTTTTGTATCACTGAGATTCTATTATAGTTTTATTAATATTTAACCCAGTTTGTATTTTTATATTTTCCATTTTAATTTTAGTTAAATTTTAAGTAGTTTTGTTGTGTTTTTGTCAAGTTTTTTTTTTTATATATGTCTATATAGTTTTTATTAATTTCAGTTTTAGTTATTTTAGTATATCAAGTCAAACGTTTAAATTGAGAATTTTTTTCCCTTGACAACTAGCGGAAATAAAAATATTTTTATATTGAAAATTTATTTCAATTTACTTTTATTTTGAGTAACATTATTTTAATTAGTAAGGTCAATTTTGAGAATTGGTCTATTTTGCAAAATACTGACACTTTTTGTAATTGTTTATTTTATTGCACTTTATCTATTTGCGTCTGTAGATTTCAATTGCAGAACATATCTTAAAAGTCAATTTCCTCAAAATTCGTTTTTTTTCTCTCTCAAATTCAGTGGCACTTAAATGCACAAAATGTAACGGTTTTATTCCCAACTGTATTCTGAAGGTTTTTACTGTGGTGTTTTTTAATTTCTGATCTATGGAGTGATAAAAAAAGAGAAATGCAAAATCCCTTCAGTAAAAAACTTTGACTCTAATAAGTCAACAAAAATGAAACAAGAATTTTGAACCCGGCTTTACAGATTTCTGTGCTGGAAATGTTTGCAAATTAGTTTCATATTTAATTAGGCAATGCCTCATGTACATATTTAAACATAATATTTAAAAAAAA